TGCGCCCCGACCCTCTGAACGCAAGCAGACACTGAGCACAAACTGTTGGCGCCCTGCGCGGATGTCTTGGACCTGCGCCGGCGCGCGGAGCTCGCCGGGGGCGGCGCCCGAGGCGCCGCCGGGGGGGGGCCCGGCGCGGATCCGAGGAATCCGCGCGGAGCGCCGCCTGCTTCCTTCTTCGACTGCGGAGGGGCCACTCCTGACTACCTACCAGACCACCCCGACCCAACCCGAAGACCCGAATTTCGGGTTGGAGGCGGGGTAAGGGTTACACACGTGTTTTTTCGATGTTTCCCGACCCCCCCCCCACTGGAAATCGAGGGTAAATCTGAGCCCTCGGGTTGGGTTGGGGTGGTTTGGTGGGTGGTGAACTCCGGCGAAGGGCACTCTGCCGCGCAGCGCGGCCGAGGGGGGCGGAGCAGCAGCAGCGGCAGCTTCGCGGGGGGCCCGGCGCGCCGTCGAGGCCGAGGGCGGGGGCTGCTTGGCGGCCGCCTCCGCGGGCCAGCGCCGCGCGGGGGCGCCGCCGCTCCTGGGCGCGGGCGCGGGGGGGAGACGCACAGTGGAGACCCATGCCAAGAGACACCCTGCTTGCCTCCAGGGTGCCCTGGGTTTCTTGGGCTTCGATGCTTCTGCCACGGAAAGCGTGACGCCCCCACACCAAAAGTCAGTGGGCATCCTGGGGGCTCAGGGCTGGGCTTCTTGTGGAAGCTTTCTTGTGGCTGGGCCCCATACTGCAAGTGCGGGCAACACTTCTGTCCATGTCCACAGCTGAGAATGACGAGGATGACGAGGAGGAGGGGGTGAGGAGGAAGTTGACGAGGAGCAGTAGCAGCATGAGGGTGGGCGAGAGATAAGTGATGGGGGGACAGGAGGGGGCTCCTCCTCCTCCTCATCATCCAGCTCCTCATGATCATCATTCTCATCCTCCTCCTCCTACATGTCCTAGTGAACAACTCCTCGGGCTCCCTTCCCCAGAAGACCGAGGCGCACTGGATGTAGCCAAAGATCTGGCCCCTAGGGTTGCGATGCGTGTCCATATCCAGCGCGCCTCGGCCTGGCGGCGCCCCTTCCAAGAGAAAGTCCAAGGCGTTCTGGGTATGGATATGACATGATGTACCTATTGCCCGCAGTAGGACTCGGATTCGAGAGACTCGGGTTGGCCTGGCAGGGCGTCAGGAAAATGACGAGGCGCAGACTGAAGTTTGACACGATTTTCTGTCGCAAGCAATGCACAACAGCTGCACTGTCACAATACAGGGCGGGCCCGTCCAAGAGCGTCGACAAATTCAAGTTCTGGCGAACTGGAGTCTTACGTTTCCCCGATCTTAGAAAGCACCTCACAAAAGCTTTTGGTAGTCTTCGTGCCGCCCAAATGCGCGCCCAGTCACGTTTACAGCTGGCATGACATGCATCGCCCTTACATGGCGCATTTGCGCGCTATTGGTCGCTATCGGGCGCTGTTTGAACGCTACTCGGCGCTACTAGGCGCTATTCGGGGCTATTTGGCGCCATTCGCCAGTACGCATTCGATACAAGACCAGACGAGCGGAAGCTTCCGTACTGTACCAGTCGAGGGGCCCACTCCATGATTGCGAGGGGCCCCAAGTGGGAGGGGGGGGGGGGGGGCGGAAGGGGGGGGCATGCCGCGCGATGCGGAAGGCGTGGCGCCAGAGACTTCGCAGCTCGATGTGGGAGGCGCTGCAAGGCGATAGTCTGCTCGATGCGAGAAGCGTTATCAGTGGACGTCCAGCTCGATGTGACAGGCGCGATCGAAGGGTTGGGAAGAGAGGCAGAGCAGGGAAAGCGGCACCACCAGATTTTCTCCTGGCAGCCACGGATGTTCTGCACCTTGTGCAGCTTCTAACCACGACAAGTTCCCGGGGCTCCCCATGAGGACCGTCCACGCGCGCCGAATCCGCTTACTCGCGCGGCCCCCCCCCCCTTCCCACGCCCAGCGCAAGATAGGTTTAGTATACCCCTTGGTCGGGCATGTCCTGTTAAAAGGCGGGTTTTGGAAGAAAAATGAACACTGACCATAAAATTATCCTAAATGCTCAAGCACGAAGAATCGTCCCCATACTACTGTCGCTACTGATCTTACACATTCCTGCTATAGGGGGACACGCCCGACTTGATTCGACCCCCACCCACCCACCCCGCGCGCGCTCTTGCAAATTCTGAAAACAGTGTTACATGTTTCAGTTCAACCTTGTTCATAGAATACAACCAAGCGGGTGTCACGCGCGCGCATGTCGAAATCGTTCGAACGCCCATGTGCGCTCGCTGTAGCAAGAACCCCTTTGGAAAAAAAACAACGAAGTGCACACGCGCGTAGTCGCGCGCGCATGCCGAAATCAGTCAAAACCTTAGGATTCGTAGGCATGTCAAAACCGAGTGGCCCGAAACCATCTAAAACACGCACGGTTTCGCAACATCAGGTTTCAATAGAAGCCTGCGCTCGCGCTCTTGCGAAGTCTTCGGGGAACCATGGGTTGTCAAAATGTCCGTTACATTCTGCCAAGCGGGCCTCTCGCGACGCATGCCGCAATCAGTCGAACGCCTTTGCGCGCGTGCTCGGGGGGCACGACCCGTGTCAAATGATGCCACGCGGCCACTCTCGCGCGTCGGCCGCGCGCGAATTTCGAACTCCTTCAAATTCCTCCATCACCGACGCGAAGACGCTGTCCTTGTCGTCGGCGTGATCAGCATCGGCGCCGTCACTGGCCGCGCCGTCGTCGCTGTCAACATCGCCACCAGCATCGCTACGATCATCATCGTGTCTACCGTTGTCGACGTTGCCATGATACCGCGCCCGCCCAACTCGCCGAGTCGCACTGAAGTGCCCGCTGGAATGTGCCCAGTGGTCACCGCCACCGCGGCCGCGCCGGTCGCGCCAACCTAAGCGGCCACCGCGCGTGCGCATGCCGCGAACCGAATTGCGGGTGGGTGGGTGGGATGTTTTCGCGAAGACTGGCGTTGACAACTCACCACAAACAGACACGAATTGCACAACATAAACTGCACCACGTAGATTGCACGCCGTCGATTGCACGACATATTCTGCGAACCGCACAGATTGCGCCGCATAGTTTGCAACACATATATTGCACAACACTGATTGCACAGTTTTTTTTTTTGCACCATCTATAATTAGGTATGGTACGTGTATATTTATATATATATGAATGTATGAATATATCGTTCGTTCTGCATGTCTGTAATTAAATATGTATATAAACATCCGCACGAACTGCACCAGGTATACTGCAACGAACACATGTTGCACAGCATGTATAGATGACATAGCACAACATCGATTGCACCACGTCGATTTCACTTATTAAACATTAAAATCTACCCACCCCACCCCACCCCCAGGATAACCCTCCCCCTGTTCGTATTGCAATGTACATACGATTCTGCCCGATTGACCATCCGAAATATGACTTCGTAGCATCCCACGGGAGCCGGCATCGACCCCCCCCCCCGCCATCCCCTGCAAAAGACACTCTGCGCGCGCATTCGTTCACCAGAAATCATAAGTTGCCAAGAATTTGTTGCACCAAATGATGACGATGTGCACACGCGCGCGTCGTCGCGCGCGCATGCCGAAATGAGTCAACAACCATAAGTTTCGCAAGGATTCCAAACCGAGTCCAAAAAAAAACATGTAAAAGCACATGGTTTCGCAGCACGCATGTTCAAACAAAGTTTGCGCTCGCACTCTTGCGGAAGCTTGAGACTTGTTAAGGGAACCATGGTTTTCAATTTTTTCATCGAATTCTACCAAACTGGTTTCGCGCGCGCACGTCGAAATCGTTCGAACGCCCTGGCGCGTGCTGTCGCAAGAATCATTTGCAAAAATTTGGACGAAGTGCATACGCGCGCGTAGTCGCGCGCGCATGCAGAAAACAGTCAGAAGCCTTGGGGGTCGTGAAGATTTCAAAAACGAGCGTCCCGAAACCAAATTAAAACACATGGTTTCGCAACACCAGGTTTCAAGAAATCCTGCGCTCGCGCTCTGGCGAATCCTGAAAGACACCATACGTTCTTCAATGTGCTCATGGAATTCTCTCAAACGGGCCTCTCGCGCCGCATGCCGAAATCATTCGCACGCCCTTTGCGCGCGTGCTGGGGGGGGCACGATCCGTGTCAAGTAATACCATGCGGGCCACTCTCGCGCGTCGGCCGCGCGGGCATGTCGAACTCCTTCCAAAACCATCACCACCGACGCGAGGACGCCGCCATCATCGTCGGCGCGATCAGCATCGGCACCGTCACTGGCCGTGCCGGCGTCGTTGTCAACATCGCCACCACCATCGCTACGATCATCATCGTGTCTACCGTTGTCGACGTTGTCATGATACCGCGCCCGCCCAATTCGCCGACTCGCACTGAAGTGTCCGCGGGGATGTGCCCAGTGGTCACCGCCACCGCGGCCGCGTCGGTCGTGCCAAACTAGCTGGAAGCTACGCACGCGTGCTTGGGTTGGCGCGGCCGCAGAGACGCACCAGCTAACGCCAAGTACTCATCGCGATCGCCGCCGCATGGGTTTTGCAAACCAAGCTGCGGGTGGGTGGGTGGGATGTTTGCAAGAGCATGGAATGTGTCAATTCGTTTGTAAAAACCAATCGCGCTATACATATATATATATATATATATATATATATATATATTGCTCCACCTAGATTGCACAACGCATACTTCTAGAAACACATTCTTAGGAGGTAACACTGGCTCTTGCGAGTCGGCGCAAAGCGACGCTAACCGACGCTAATCGACGCAGAGTCAACGCTAATCGACGCTAATCGACGCTAACTCGGCGCGCTCTCGTCGACTACCAGACGCTAGCGCACGCGAGTGTACCCTGAAGGCGGGAAGCAAGAGGACATACAAGACTCCCGCGACTTGCTGCCGAACCTCTCACGTTTGTCATAAAACGCGGAACGTAGCACTGCAGCCGCCGCAGCGGAGCCGCACCTCACGTGGCCTCGTCGCTATCAGGGAGGCGTCGTGACCGATACTGTGCCCGAAAATCTTTCCGAGCGTGCCCGAAAAACTAGGGCCCGAATGCGCCCGAGGGTGACCGAAATGTCTGGTTCGAAACCAGAACGATTCTCCATGTCGGTCACGACTTCGGTCCCGCTACGTGTTCGGTCACAACTTCGGCCACGCTGTTCGGTCACCGATGTTTGTTCGGTCACCTACCCTCGGGCGTCTGCTGACCCGGGTCAATCCGCACCCGGGTCAGCTGGGCCTCGCAGGACTCCTGCAGGATCCTGCACCCAGAACCTGGGCCCGTGCGCCCCCCGACTCCGCAGGATCCTGCGAGGTCCGGCGCCCTGCCTGACACCCCCGCGTGCATGGACCCCCGTCCCCGGAGCCCCGACTAGGAAGGCACCAACTATACACCAACACCGATCCTGGCCCAGGATTACCCTGGGCCCAGGATCGGTGTATACGCCCTCCTGCCTTGCGCAAGAAGGCATATACACCGATCCTGGGCCCAGGGTGGTCCTGGGCCAGGATCGGTGTTGGTGTATAGTTGGTGCCCTCCGACCGACGCCTTTTCGCCTGATAGGGGCCGAGTGCCACGGCGCCCCGGGCGCCACGGGCATCGAATTCGAGCAGCCGCGCGGCGCCACGAGCGCCAGGGGCTCCGGCGCGAGCGGCGCCCGCGGGGCGGCGGGCCTGCCGGGCGGCGCGCGGAGGGTGGGGCGCAGAGGGGCGGCGGCCTTCCGAGGGGGGTCCCCCACGCTGGGCGAGTCCGAGGGCTGTGGTCTGCAAGCCCAGAGCCCCTCGGGGCAGGAGCAAGGCACGACGGGGGGTCGATCGCTGCGTTCGGCCTCCTGGGCGCCCTCACCGGGCTCGGGGCCAGCAAGAAGCTGCTCAGGATGAAAAACGGGTCGAGAACTCTGGCGATCGACTTGATGAAAAAATCATGGCGGCGGGGGTCTGGGAAGGGTGTGGTCTACAACCCGCACCCCTGGAGGGCGAGCGAGGACATCGGCGGCGATCTCCACCGCGCCCCGAAGAGGACTCATCAAACTTTTGGCGCGACGTGGTGGGCCCCCAAGCCCCAACATTACCGATCGCAAGCCACACCCCAGCATAACCACACATACACCCCTTGGATCGGCGGCGAACGAGGGCGAAGTGAGAAGGAGAAGGCCATCTTAGCAGGCGGCGGGGCTTCTCAGAAGCCCTCGGGCCTTCTGAGAAGCTGTCCGTGTCTTCGGGGACTCAGAAGGCTGGGGGACCTCCGAACCTTCTGAGAAGGCCTTCTCCTTCTCACTTACCCCCCTCGCTTGCCGCCTACCAGCGATAGCGATCGCAAGCCTACAGGCCTCCTAGATGGGGTCGAAGTACATGGGGTCGGAGGATCGCGCCGCATCGCCCATACATCGGCGATGCATCGGCGATGCACCGGCTGTGCATTGGCGATGCCTCGTCGACGTGGGCGATGCAGCGGCGACGTCGACGTGAAGCAAACCGGGCTCCACACCGAGCCGCATCGGCGATGCATCGGCGGTGCGGCGCGATCCTCCGACCCCAATCTGCTCCGACCCCATCTCGGGGGCCTGCCAAGCCACACCCTGGCGTGACGCCACCCTCCGCAGTCGCCGGCCTGCACTCTCCAGAGGGCCCCTGGGCGGGGGGCCTCCGAAGAGGGCGGCCCCCTCCGAGGGGGGGGGCGCGCCCCACGGGAGGGCGCGCGACCCTCGCCCCGCCCGCTCGCTGCGCGCCGCCGAGGGGCCTGCCGAGGCCATGCAGACGGCGGTGTTGGCTCACGGATGGGCCGAGCTTCCACCTCTGCGACTGAAAGCAGACGAGGGAGAAGAGAAACGGCACAGACATGACGCTTGGCGCTCCGCGCGGATTTCTTGGATCTGCGCTGGACCCCCCTCCCTGGCGCGCGGAGCGCGCCAGAGGCGGCGCTGGAGTCGCCGCCAGGGGGAGCCCAGCGCGAATCCAAGAAATCCGCGCGGAGGGCCAAAAATGTATGTTTATGCCGCTTTATTCTTTGATATAGGTGGGAGAGGGCGGAGGAGGAAGAGGAGGAGGAGGAGGAGGAGGAGGAGAAGGAGGAGGAGGAGGAGGACCTCCTCATCCTCCCTTCACCCCGTCCTACCTGTGGTAGCGGTGGTGTACAGCTGGCCCATCATCAACGGCGATGTTGGGAATCTGGCTTCTGCGGCGCCGGACTCGGGCAGAACAAAGTGCGGGAGAGCACGAACAGCGCTTTCCTACGATTGGGTTGGCCACGAGCCAACCCCACCTGAAATACCGAAGCCTGCATCGCCGTTACCTACATCGCCGTTGGCGTGTGGACGGGCCTAGTGGAGGTTCTCCTGGATGCACAGGGCCGCGATATGTCCGAAGTGGTTCCTGGCGTTCTGCAGCGCCTGGAGCGTGACGAGGAGGCGCGCCCGCGGGTCCGCGTAGAGAGCCCGCGGGGCGTGGGCGGTGACGGTCAGCGCCTGTCCAGCGCGCCATGCCTCGCCCAGAGCCTGCGTTGGGGAGAACAATGGAGGAAGACAAGACGGCATTCAACACAAACTGTTGCCCGTCCGCGCGGACCGCCGACAGTTTGTGTGTTGTGTGGGCTCTGTTCTGCGGGACAAAGACCAACACACGCACAAACTGTCGGAGGTCCGCGCGGACGTCCGAGGTCTATGCAGATGCTCAGGTCGTTGGTTGTTCTGCTCTTGGTGGCGACTCTGGGAGGGTTCACTTATGGGCGCGATCAGGAATTGAGAGGCTAATTTGAAAGATATTGAGCCCGACCACGCAAGACGAAACTGGAGTAATGCAGACAAGCGACTTTCTGCGGTCCACGGGCCTCGGCCGTGTGGGCAATCCTGTCACAGGGCACCTCTTGGCCGTTGACATGCGTGACAATCCAGCCAATGTGCTTCTGGGACATACCCGTCCGTGCGGCGGGGCTCCAGGCGCGCAGCTTCTCGATGGTGGAGGTGCCACGGACGAGCGTGAAGCCGAGATCCTCCTGCACTGCGCCTGCGCTGGGCTCGACAGTGAAGGTAACCATGGTCGGCTCGAGAGCAGCCAGGTGAGCGAATTGATGGCCTGCCTTCTGATGGATCTGGTCTGTAAGCTCGATCATGTCGTCGAGCTTGTGGAGGTGCTCCACGTCCTCGAGCTCCAGAATCTCTCGGTCCATGATGGTGCTCTCGTCGTCGTGGTGGAGGATGATGTCCAAGCCTCGGCGGGTTAGACCAATGAAGGACATGAAGTCGAGCCGAACTTCCTCCATCGAGGGCATCTCGTCCAGAAAGTCGAGTATCGTTTCATACTCCCCGAACGAATATTTGCCGCTCGACGAGTTGGCCGCTTCTCTGCAAATGCAGATCATCTCGAAGTCGCTCACGACCAGCCGCATATAGTAGATCGCCATGGTGTAAAGCTTGTGTTTGAAGGGCGTCTTGGGGCCAGGAAACACTGCATTGTGAGGGTCAGCCATGGGCCGAAACTCCTCCGCGGGCGCAACCCTGGACTTCATCAGCTTGAGAGCCGCCGGCCTGAGGAGCCTACGACGTTTGGAGCTGGACCTGGGGTAAAAGCCACGAGAGTAGCGATGGGACTAAGTAGTGCTTGCTTGCTCTAAGGGCTTCTTACTTTGCCCATTTGGAAAGAGTGGTCGCAAGCTGGTGCACGTGCCCTGGTGATATCTGGGCGGTGCTTATGACTGGTGCTCAAGGATGCTATAATAGTTGAGATTCCTCACTCCAGCCTTGGGAATCCTGTGGGTGGTGCTTTATGGCTGGGGCTACATGGTGTCCCAGTCATGCGCCGCGCCGATCTTGCATTGGTGTCCTTTGGGCGATGCTCTATGGCTGATGCCCCATGATGCCTGAGTGGTTGCGATGTCTCGTTGCTGCCTTGGAGCTCTGTGGGCGGTGCTCTTTGGCTGGTGCCATGTATGACGCATCAATGATTGCGACTTTCCGGTATTGCCCACAATTGGCCGCGGTCTACGGCTGGTGGCCTGCGGCTTCTCATCGGTTGTGAGCTCTCGTTCGAACGTTGGTGCACTTTGGGCGGTGCTCTATGGCTGGCGCCTTGTGAAGCATTGATGGCTGCGAGTTCTTAGCATTACATTGGTGCCCTAAGGGTGGTGCTCAATAGCTGGTGCGCTACGTTGTCACGTGTGGATACGACGTGTTGCTCTTTCGTTTGTGGCCTCAGGGTGGCGCTCTATAGCTGGCACCCTATAATGCTCCCTGGGTCCCCATGCTTTGCACGATAGGTGCATATGATGGCTGCGATGTCCCGTTATCGCATGGGTGCCCTATGGGAGGTGCGCTGTAGCAGGTGCCTTCCGACGCCTTAATGTTCGCGAGTTACCGTTATTACCATGGTGCCCCACTGTTGGTCCTCCATGGCAGGTGCCCAATGATGAATGCGTTGAGATCGATGCATCGCAAGAGTGCTACGTCATGTGTTCATAGCTGCGATATCATCATTGCCGTGGTGCCATTCCGGTAATTCTTTACGGCGATGCCATTTCGTAGGCCAATGGTTCCGATGTGTCGATCTTGCAGTGGTACCATATGGGCGGTGTATCATGGGTGACGCTCAGTGGATATGTGATGCCTTCTCACTCTTGCATTGGAGTCGCATGGGTGGTGCTCTCTGCCTCGATGGTTGCGAGTGCACGTTCCTCCCATGGTGCCCTCGGGTGGTGCTCCATGAGTGGCGCTTCATGATGCCAAACGGTTGCGTATAATCGTGCTGGTCTTGGTGTCATATAAATGGTATACCATGGCCGGCACACTATTTTGGACGCCCGCAATGGGTACGGAAAGAATTAGTACAATGCCCAACAACAAATGTTGTCCCGAACCAACCGCGGCCGCTGTTGGGCAGGCGGCCTTCTGTCTCAAATGGACACAGGCCGCGGCGGCGCGGACAGCGAGTCCTGTTCAAAACGAGCAGGAACTGCTGTTGGGCAGTGTACCCATTCTTTCAGTACCCATTTCGGGCGTCTAGAACTATGACCTACCACGTATGCTGCATCCCTTCTACTGCGCTAAAATCGGTTGCACGCCGAGGTTCAAAAAGTAACAGTTTGAGAAACGTAGCGACGGGGACCCGTGGGGGACTGTGACAAACACTGCCAACACAGCGACCCTCCTGTTGGCACATTTTCTCGTACTCTTTTTGGGGAGGGAGAAGTTCAAGAATCCATGACGCGGTCCATACGTGCGAAGTCTTACCGGGAGATTTCAAACTCCATGTGGACAACGTGATTGCCAGAAGTGGCCTTCACGATTCGGCCATTCGGAAGAAGCGGCGGAGAAGGAATAGGAGGGCAGGGGGAAAGGAGACAATGCCGTCGCGTGTGCATCCCCTATCGCGCCGCTGTGCCAACCAGAAACATTCCGGATTTGTCCGTCTCCCTACGACACCCCCCCGTGCGACCCGCTGTATGATTCCAACTGTTTGTTCCCCCACATCCTTAAGTAGGTTTCTGTTTTCCCTGGACAGCCCCACGCAAGAACAAGAGCACCGCCTCATTATCATCGTCCCCGTCATGACTCCGTGATCACAATCAATCATCACATCATCATCATCATCATCATCATCATCATCATCATCATCATCATCATCATCATCATCATCATCATCATCATCATCGTCATCATCATCATCATCATCATCATCATCATCATCACCATCATCCCACCATGACCATTGGTCATCACCATTCTCACCACCGAATCGTCCTTCCACACTCTCAATCACCACAACATCATAATCATTATGTATCAGCAGCAGCATCATCCTGATTATCATCGTCACCACCACCACCAACATCATCATCATCATCATCATCATCATCATCATCAGCAGCAGCAGCAGCAGCAGCAGCATCATGATCACCATCATCATCATCCCCATCCCCAGAATCTTCATCACTAACACCACACCAGGTTTTCGCACTCACTCGCACAATTTTGAAGTTGCGGGCGCCAAATGGTCAGAGACGGTCAGGCGCCAGTCAGCAAGCGGTGGGGTGCACCGGGAGCGAGTTTGAGGCGCGAAGACAAAAATGAACAGAGCGCGAGGGAGGAAGAACAGGGAGCCCGCTCAGACCATTGAAGAAGGTGCTCCCATGGCCACGGAGGTAACTCGTGAAGATGTCTCGAGCGGGGCGCCTGGTCTGTGAGTGAATTGGGAGGATGCCTCAGGCGAGAGCCCCACCTCTCTATGGGCCCAACAAATCACGTTGGCAATCCGAGCGGGTCATTGGCGCACTGTCGCAGGCATAACACTTGAGCATCCCAAGTGGGCAAATCGTGAGATTGTCTCGAGCGGGGGCCTCGGATATGAGTGCATTGCTAGGAAGTCTCAGGCGGCCCCCCCCCCCTATAGAGCCGCAGATCATGTTGGTAATCCGGGCGGGTCGTTGGCCTATTCGATAGAAGACATAACGCATGAACACCCCAGTGGGCGCAAATCGCAAAAATGCCTCGGGGCGCCTCGCTTGTGAGTGAATTGCGAAGAAGTCTCAGGCGGGAACCCCCTCCCGACGGGGCCCGCAAATCATGTTGGTAATCCGAGCGGGTCGTTGGCGTACTGCAGCAGGCATAATACTTGAACACCCCCAAGGAGGCAAATCGTGAGGATGTCTTGAGCGGGAGCCTCGTCTGTGAGTGAATTGCAAAGAAGTCTCAGGCAGGACTCCCCCCTCCCTATGGAACCGCAGACCATGTTGGCAATCCGAGCACGTCATTGGCCGATTCAATAGCAGACATAGCGCATGAACGCCCCAAGGGGCGCAAACCGCAAGGATATCTCGAGCTGCTCCTCCTCCTCCTCCTCCTCCTCCTCCTCCTCCTCCTCCTCCTCCTCCTCCTGCTGAGTCAGCAACACCGTTTCCCGATGCCGAACCCAAGGATCCCCTAGCTTTTGAGGGCGCATCCCTGATGCGGTCATCGCCTTGGGTTTGCCAATCCTAGGGATGGGGACGAGCTCGCGCCTGATCACCAGCTGGTCCTTCCCTGCCTGGACCCCTGTTGAACTGTTGTGCGAGGGTGCCCCGTTGCTCCAGCTTCTTCTGTCCAGCCCCTTCCCGATCCGCGGTTATTGTGGGGTTTCTTCCGGCGGGCTCCTCGGCGGGGGTCTCCCCAGAGTCTTTGGGTCCCTCCGATTCCCTGCGCAGCTTTGCAGTTTAGGCCCATGCGTTGCGTTGTCTTTGCATGTCTTTGCGCAGCATTGTTTTTCAGTGCACCGCAATGCGCTGCATTGCGTTCAACTTGAGCTGCTTTGCGGAGCATTGTTGCGGTGTGTATGATTGCCGTTAAAATGCATTGCGTTTCGCATTTCCTTGGGTTGCTGCGCATTGTTTATAGTGCGTTGATTTGGCGCGCTTGGCATGTCTTGACATTGCCATGTTCATGGCCATTGTCATGACATTCGATTTGCACTGTGATCAGATGTAGCTGCAATGCGATGCATTGCTTGGAAACGCATTACTTTGCAATTCCGTGCGTTGAGTGTTCATTGTGTTTGCATGGCTTCGCATTCGGTGCTTTACAAATCATCACGTTGCATTGCTTGGCGCGACAGCGCATTGCATTTGTCATGCTCTGCATCTGTCTGCATAGCACTGCGTTGCGCTGCTTCGTGTTGCGTTGCATTTCTTCTCATTTCTTTGGATTGCTTTGCATTTCTTTGCGTTGCGCTGCATTGCATTATCTTGCCTTACCTTGCCTTGCCTTTCTTTCCATTGCTTTGCATTCCTTCGCATTGCTTCGCCTTGCCTTAGATTGTGTCGCATTGCTCTGAACTGAGTCGCATTGCATTGCAGTGCGCTGCGTCGCAATTCGTACTATCTGCCCGTAAGTGAGCCTCCCTTGGGGTAGCGAAACTGCGCCGTTCTGGTCATGCAGGAGTAGTGCCTCGACTCACCACTTGGGCCTTCGCCGCGGCGCCGTGCTGCAGCACGAGGCGCGTGAGAGGTGGGCCAGTCCTTGAACGGGAGTGGTATGCGGACGCAGCCGTTCGCGCTTTACACGGGGCCTGCTGTGGGGGCGCCACGCGCGTGATGAGTGGGCTCTTTTTGACGTGGCAGCAGTAGTCCTGCGGATGTCACCCCTGCGGTCTTCGTAGAGGCAGCTCATTCATGGAAGCGCCAAGCGCGTGAGGGTTTGGGAGTTTGTCTAGTGCAGGCAGCAACGTGCGACTGGGTATGCTCACACGCGTCGCTGCTTGCATACGTACACATTATTATTTGGCGCCAGCAGGGCAGCCCACAGGGAACTGTTCTGTGCAAGCTGGCAGATTTCAACACTGTGGTGCGTCATGCACGTCCACACCCATCGGATGGGCCTCCCTCTCACCCGTCTAGTGCCCCAGGGAACATCTTCAGTGCGGGTGATGGCGCGAGCAATAGCCAGGCCGTCTGCAGCTGCGAGCGCCCTGACGGCCGGCGTGCGTCAGTGCCCCTGGAGAAGGGCGCGCCAAGTCCCGGCCAAGGCCTGCCACCGTTCTCCCCAT